TTAGGGTTTTGGGGTTTTGGCTTTAGGGCTTGGTAAGTTTAATCCGGGCCACATTGAGGAACCCCAGCTGGGAGAAATCTGCAGATGTAGCAGTTCAGCTGGTGATGGCTGGCTCAGCGTATGTTGGGGCGTGGAACAACACTTCACCACAGAGACTCTAAACGATAACCCTTAAACCCTAAAACCAGAATCCCAAACCTGAAACCCTAAAACCTAAAACCCTGAATGCTAAAACCCTGAACCCTAAACCCTACAACCCTAAAACCCTAAAAACCTAAACCCCTAAACCTCAAACACAATTCAGCTGCTGGAGATCCCTGAGCCTGCTGTCCGATGTCATCACTGTCGAGAACGAATGGCCCTGCATCATCCATGTCAACCTCATCCGCATCCAACTCAACCTGAAGATAGGTTTATGGTTTAGGGTTTAGGTTTCAGGGCTTTTGGTATGGTTTATGGTTTAGGTCTCAGGGCTTTGGGTACGGTTTAGGGTTTAGGTCTCAGGGTTTGGGGTATGGTTTTACAACCCCCATACCCCAGCCCTCACACCTATATGATGAAATTTGTCACCATAATCGCGTCCATTCCCTCATACCCTCTCTAATCGAAAATCCCAAGCTTCGTCTCTAAATGATCCCAACGTGCCGTCACCTTTTCGCCTCCTTCATTCCCTGCAATCTCGCGAGCCCAGCCTAAACAAGAAATTATGTACTAGGTTCCATCATCTTCTACATTCCTTGCTATTGCCCATGTAATAATTACCATCCTCTTTTACATTCCTTCATTCCCTGTACACCACCCATTTCGTTTTCCGTTTGCTTCCCCTCTAGCCATTACTGTTTCAGGAACACCGACTAAGTTTGTAAAAGCTGTGTTTGCCACGGGCTTGCATGTAACTACGCCCGGAGAGTGATGAAACCCTCGACCCCGTAAATACACACGTACCCTAAAGGCCCTAAACCCTAAACCTTTGACCCGAATACGTAATATACACATACATATGAGCCCTGGACTAAATTTGTAGTATATCCCTTAATAGGTCGCCCCCAAAACCCTACGTAGTCCCCTATAGGTCCCCCCCAACCTAGATTTAGTCCGTAGCTCATATAACCACCAGTACCTGTAGATGCGAACAGGAAAGCTGAGGCTGGGGCGAGGCCTGTTCTGGTTGTTCTCTCGGCCTTTTTTTTATGCGTTTTAAGGGTTTAGGGATTGGGAATAAGATCTCTATAGGATCTCTATATTATATGTATATATACACTATAACCACACAATATACACTATCACAAAATAGTAGTTTCCATTTCCTGGGGTTTGAGGTTTTGGGGTTTGGAGGGATGAAGGCTACCCTAACTGGCCTTTGATTAGCTAGGAATGGAGGAATGGATCCTTGCAGTAGGCCCTGTATAACCCATTATAATCGTGTCCACTTTCTTTTCCATTCCTTCATTTCCACCCTAAACCTAAACCCTATAGTAGTTTCCATTTTCTTTTCCATTCCTTCATTCCCAGCGAACCAAAGGCCAGCTTAATCCTCAACTCTTGGGGCTTAGAGTTTTGGGGGTTCTAGGATGGAGCCATGCAAGCGGCCTTGGGTAATCCCACTACAGGGGAAACTGGGAATGTTTTTTGGTTTAGGGTGTAGGGTTCATGGTTTAGGGTTTAGGGACTACAGGGGAAACTAGGGATGGTATTTTGTTAGGATGCAGAATGGGAAATGACATGAAAACTTAAACCCTAAACCCTAAACCCTAAACCCCTAAACCCTAAATCCTAAACACTAAAGCTTAGGCGAGAGCTCCCCGAGCGCACGGCCATACTAGACAGGGAGCTAAACTGCGAGAACAGGAAGCTACTGCGATCCTACGCTTGATGGACCAAATCCTGCATAAGACATGAAGTGTAGGGCTTAGGGTTCAGGGGGCCATCGCATCTTCCGCAGTATCAGCAGTGCGAGGGTAAGATGCTGTTAAAATTTGCTGCGCCAGATATTGCGGTGGGTTACAGACATGCTTCAGATGACCCTGCGAGCGGTCTAGGGTTTAGAGTTTGGGGGTTAGAGGTTTAGTGCTTGGGGTTTAGGGTTTAGGGGAGTAGGATTTAGGATTCAGGGTTCAGGGCTTAGGCTGAAATTGAGACTAGAGTCATGGCAATGAGTACTGTTGCAACTACCCTTACGAATACCATTATCATTACCATTATCACGACCACTTCTATTCCCATTACCTGTGCCCTTATTGGAATTTGCTAGTACCACTCCTACTGCCGCTACCACTAATAGTCGCTAGTACTACTGATAACACGATGATCAGTTGATCGATCCACGGCCCCAGAAATGACACAAGATTTGCAAGGGATGCCTTACCCCTGAACCCTTCACCCCTCAACCCTAAACCCCTAAACCCAAAACCCCAAACCCCAGACCCCAAAACCCCTAGACCCCTAAACCCTAAACCCTAAAACCCTAAAACCCTAAAACCCTAAACCCTTCTCAGAGCTAAGGTTTGTGCATACGTCCCCGAGATGCGCAAATCAATCCCCACAAAGGACGTCCCCAAAATTGAGGCTTAGGGTTCAGGGTTTGAGCTTAGGGTTCAGGGTTTAGGGTTTAAGGGTTCAGGGTTTTGGGTTTTAGGGTTTTGGAGTTTAGGGTTCAAGGTTTACGGTTTAGGCCCTTTAACCAAAGCAAATACAAGGTAGGCACTTGCTGTACAAGGGTACCCCTTTTCCTGATGTGCAATTTTAGTAAGGAGACCCCAAACAAAAGGGAAAAAGTGTACTACTGGAGTACCTACTGTAAATGCCTTCCTAATCCCGAGAACCTAAACCCCCAGGAAACTTGTGTGCAGTTGTGTGCACTCACCAAAACCTGTCTGGAACCAAGCCTGCGCATAAACGTGATGCAAACACAGACAGCACACAAAATCCCCGCGCTCTCTTTAGAGTTTAGGGTTCAGGGCTGTTTAGGGCTCATAAGGGAAAATCTCATGCACTTAGTGCTCATCATTGCAGAACCAGAACAAAGGATGCTATTAGGAAAAACCGGGGACGAGCCAAAATTGCAAGAGGAACCGTGTACACCCCCTGCACTAACAAAACCACTCAAAGTATCTCGTACCTTAGGGTGAAAACCAAATATCCTGTATGACCCAAGTACCTTATGCCTGGGGAATTCTTGGCCTTCTAGCAACAGATGCTACGTCGTCGTCCATGTTACTTTCCAGTCGATTCTCCATGGCCTTAAACCCTGAACCTGCATGTCCAAGATTTTACGAAACCCTCTCCTCCAATCCGGGTGGAGGCCGTGCAGCGTTTGCCTCCGGGCAGGTCCGTTTGCCCTACTTAGGGCTTAGGGTTGGGGAGTTTACCTTAAACATCCTTAAACCATAAGCCCTAAACCCTGCCAGATTCCACCCTGAAGCCCAATACGGGACCCCCAACCACATGAGCCATAGTCTAAACTCCTAGTATCCCCCTTTATAGCCCCCGCAGTAGTCTCCTTTAGAACCCGCTTTAGGGAGTTTAGATTATGGTTGATTTGGTATGGGCACATCCTAGACCCTGCGGCCCGTACCATCTCATCACCAAAAGCCCCGCATCCCATTTTGAGGGTCCTTCTTTCACGCATCTCAGGTATAAATTGAATTTCCCGTGCTTTTTGAAGCCTAATAAATGTGCAGATGGGGATCGGAGCAGTTGGTACAGCAAGAAGTCAGACTATGCTTGCTTCTTGTTGTGTTAGACGGAGATGTACGCAACTGAGCTATGTTAGGGATGATTGTGGGAAATATGATGGGATCTGCTAGCTGGCCCCCACAAACAAGAGAGGGGCAAAGCCCTAAAACTAAATGTGGTCAAATGTGGCTTAGGGTTTAAGCCGTAAACCCGAAACTTCTGAACCCCAAACCTGCACGCTGCAAGCAGCGCCAAGCATCGCTGGGTGGAGTCTAAGCCGATACAGGCCGATACCACACAACCTGGCCTATGTCTGGTATTCTCAAAATGAGGATACCTTGAGTGACCCTTGGAATGTGTGCGAATGTGTACATCTGCAGGTGTGTACATCTGCAGAAGTGTATATATGTGTACATGCGTGAACTGCAGGGGTTCTCCCGTAGAGCTATCTGAGAATAGTTTTTAGAGACTCCACATTATCTTGCGGAGTGTGCGGATCCACTTTTCGGCGGTCGACCGCCGACAAGCACCCCCCAAACGAACATAGAACCCTAAACCCTAAACCCTAAACCTATAACCCTGTTTCAATGCACAGCTAAGAACAGGGCCACCTTCTAAGTTTGGGTGAATGTCTACGGTAGACTTTTGATTGCCTGTGTCGACTTGGAACAGACTCGAGCTTCAAATTTAGGAATCAAGGGAGGCCCCAACATGTTTGCAAATCACTGGGAGATGGAGGGTTCATCGTCCATATCCCTTATGCAGTTCTATCATTTTGCAAAAAATGCCTTCAACAATGACCCAGCAGACTATTTGATATTTTCCTTAAATAAGGCGGACCACATTCTAGACCCCGAACTTGGCCTTAAACACCTTAATCCTTACTACCAGTACCCCCAAAAAGGTACCCTGAATTTTGGGAAACCCGAGACCCTATATATCCCTGTAGAAAGGTACCCCGTTTTTTGAGAAACACCATATCCCTACGCGTACATGTGTGAAAGCGGATTTGCGCCTCTGGTTCGTAGTATTCGACATCCTGGGCTGCAGTAGGGTTTACCCTAAACCCTAAGCCCTAAACCCTTGACCCTAAACCGTGTGGTCTCAAACTGGCCACAAGGTAGGTGCCCTGTTTGGCTAGAATCCCCTAAGTTGAAGAAGTGTATTTAGGGTTTAGGGTTTAGGGCTAAACCAACAACTTTTTTTACTTCTCTGAGACTCCGCTACAACATGATGGACTGCGGTGTCACGAAACTTCCTATCTGGTTAGGTCTAATAATACAGCAATAGTAATATGGGGGGGTTCCCAGAATCAGGGGTACCCTTTTTGGGGGTCCCCATAACAAAGGACTATAGTCTTTTGGGGGTCTATATTGGGGTCCGCCTATTTAGGGAAACTACCATATCTAATAAGACATAGTGGCCATGACATGCGACAATTATGCTGATAAAATTGCGTGCTATACCTATAGCCCCCCTTAAGTAGATAGAAGATGTTTATATACGGATCTTATTATAAGATACCCAAAGCCATATCCTATCTACTTAGCAGGACTATACTATGAATTCCAGGGTCCGCTTGCCGGGGAGAGGCCGACCGTCTCTGAGGTCGGGCGCTCCAGCTGGAGCCATTTCGGGTTTAGGGTTTAGGGTTCCTAACGTAAAATTGACAGTGATCGCGGTTTATGGTTAGGGTTTAAGGTTGCATGGGTAGGAACACTAACAATAACACTGATAACAATGGGAATAACAATTACGAGAAATTATAGGTAAGAATCATTAGTGGTACCAATAACTCTTATAGGCGCATCGGGTACTTCTAAACCAGGGTGCTTCTGCAAATGCACACAGAAATATGCCCATAATAGAAAATATTCGGAAATCTTAGAAACCGTTCCATTTAATCCTAGATAAGCCCATTTCATGCCAAATCATCCGAAATCACCTCTACATATTCCTTGTCATTCCACCCTGAATCCCTGATAAATCCTTGAAACATTCCTATCAGATCCTAGCCATTGCCAGGAGCCCTTCTTGAGACTTGCAGTGCAATACCCTTGCCCCTGAAGGCCACCAAAACATTTCCAAGAGTTCTCATTAAGGAAAAACAGTGACAAACCAGCTTGGATTTTCGAGTGTTTTTAACTGCAAGGAGGAAGAGCAAAAACTAACGAGCTGACAATCCAGCCTTTTGCTTTCACAAAATGATTATGGTTTAACGATTTAGTTGTAGTTCTACCGATTTTTACAGGAATCTTGATGATTTGTTGATTTTTTTTGTTGGATTTGTTGGGAGGACTCGTTTAGCTCTCTTTGGGATGTTCCGGAAGCTTTTCAAGTGTGTTGAAATGTTGATTTTGTTTGTGTTCTTTTTGAAATTCTCTATTTTTGGAATTTTTGAGAACTGTGTAGAATGTTTTTAAAACTTTGACGATGTTTCTGGAAGTGTTACCCAATATCTTAAGAAGCCAAGCAATCTTTCGATGTCCAATTTGAAAATTGCAACGGATACGAAACGATATTTAATGGGGATGATGAAGGGTCTTAGCTCTGTGGTTTGAAGCTTGTGGGGGCTGGGAGTGTAGATGTCTATGTTCAGGCTTCACAACCTACCATCAAGTGTAGACACTACCCACCCAAATTTATCCCAAATTACTTGATGCTTCTGGGATCTTGAGAACTATTCATTGTCATATCAGAGCTTTTCCGGAATTAGTCAGCAGCAGGGATTGTTTGGAATTATGTTGATTGATTTGCAGGATCTTTTTAAGTACTTGAAATGATATGAAGTACTTTTGAAAAAAGATGGGTGAGGGTCTGAAGAAGTACCCTTTTGAAGAAGAAGCGGATGTGTTTCTATGAAAACGATGCTCATGTGGGCAAATTTCTCAACAGTTTGCCCTAAACCCCAAACCCTAAACACCCTAAACCGC